GTCTAATTACTTTAACAACTTTGTCAAAAATTTCTAAATGGTTGGAGGAAGTAAGGATTTGTTCTCTTAAAAATAAAAGGTTGGGAGACGTTAGAAATAAATTTATCTGTTCCTGTAAATTTCCAGTCCATCGCAACCTTCTCTCACCATGAACTATTACATTTTCCTTGCATGGTATTATTGTTAATTGTTTTCTAATTGATAAAGAAAGTGACAGTTGAATTGGCATATCATCGCTCTCAGGCCTACTAAGAAATTTAAAATGTTCAAAGAAGGTCAATACTGAGTGTGAAAGAACCATATAATTTATCACACTTTTGCCCTTTGGGCCAATGAATGTGTATAAACTTGAGTCTGTGTCTACCTCTGTTCCATTACATATATACAGGTGATATTTATAGATGCGACCAAAAAAGATTTTCTGGTTTTATTAACCCCTTGATCCTTAAATCTTCTGCTGTAAGTGCCAATGCATCTCCTATTTTATAGTTATTTCCGCCTATTCTGGCATTCATATCACCTGCTAACAAGATTGGAAGGTCAATAGACTGCTTAAAGAGAGTTGGGAGAGCCTGGTCTAATTCTGATAATGTTTTCATGCCTCAAATATTGTGGGGGACAATACACATTTAGCAAGAAGATTTTAATGCCTGGTGGCCAGGTAATCTGTAGGATTAGGATGTTACTGCTGAGACCCATATCAAGTTCTAGAATTTCTGGGTTACTATTAACTGATATTAAAGTTGCCACACCTCCCTGTGCCCGGCCTCTAGTTTCCAGTTTGCTGGCAGGTCGTGCATGAGTGGCAAAACCTGGGAGAGAATGGAAACCCATAGAAGTCACCCAGGTTTTCAGAATAAAGATAATTTCAAATTGAGAGCAGAAATCTTTAATGTTTTTGTCTATCAGTTTGGAAGGCCAGCCTGCAATGTTCCAGGATATGGCTTTGATAAGACATCTGTTAAGACCTGGAGAAAGAGGTAGTAATTTCTGTTCACTTATTCCAAGTACATTGTCAATACTAGTGGCAGAACTTATACCTTTGGGTTTGGAACCAATTTTCTTGCTGGACGGCTGTCCATCAGTTACTGCATCATACAAATGTGAGGGTAGTTGTTCATATATGATGTCTAAGCCTAAAAGCTTATCATCAGTTATATAATTCTGTGCTGCATGCACCTCGGTTTCGGGTGTAGTCGTGGTATTTGTTTTAGCTGTCAACTGAGGGTTTATGTTAATTTCTGCTGTAACTTTTTGTGTTTTATTTTGAAAATAACCTGTTTGAGTTATATTATTATCTTCTATAGAGGGGGCTTTAACCAAATCAACTACAGTGGTGCCCCGCATAGCGACGTCAATCCGTTCCAGGATTAACGTCGCTAATCAGATTCGTTGCTATGGGGGGGGGGGAACCCATAGGAACGCATTAAACTCCGTTTAATATGTTCCTATAGGGCGAAAACTCACCGCTATGCGAAGATTCCCCCATCCAGCCGCCATTTTTGCCGCCCGGTAAGCGAGGGCAGGGCGCGAAAACGGAGCGGGCGGCCATTTTTTCTTCCGGTGGCCATTTTGGAACTGCCAATCAGCTGTTTTTATAACATCGCAATGCAAAGATCGGTAAGCGAAACACTTACCGATCATCGCAATGCAATGTTTTGCCATTCAAAATGTCGCAATGCGATCGCTAAAAAACACGTCGATATGCGGATTCTTCATTAAACGTTGCGCTCGTTAAGCGAGGCACCACTGTAAACATAATGATCTGGCTGGAGGCGGTGATGCTCGGCAGATCCTTGAATCTGTTAATAGCAGTCTATGTGCCGGGTCATCCTCTGATAGGATTTCTATACAGGAAGCTTGTGATGCCGTTGGACAGAAGTCTGCAGATGTTGTTTGAAGTTCATTTGCTTGCTCTTGCGAGGTATTTAAACTAAATGAATTACTGACTAAATTATGGATAAGCGTTTGAAGCCTGTTTATGATATGCTGTTGTTCTGTTATAGGCAAAGTAAAATACCTGTCAATTAGAACTTTCTCCTCTTCAGAGATCATCGTAAGCACTATCGGAGTACCCTCTGGAAAGTAGTCTCTTACTTCCAGAGAGCTTTGGAGGGTGTCGCTTGTGTCTCTGTTTAATTGGTTATTATAGGTGAGGTTTTTGCTTCTATGACCAGGGGAGTTTAAATTCTCAAATCTTGAATTTGCTTTACTAAGGTCTAAGCGTATTAAATTATAAGTTGGTAAAGATTTATCCTGTTCTATAATTTGTCCATCCCTAGCAGACCAGTCTTTGGTCAGTAGTTGGATTATGGCATTGACACAGTGCCTCTTCACCTGAACCCCTAAACTAGCAAAAGCCTGCCTTTGTCTAAGTATAGAATACACAGAAGCTGGGCCTGTGAAAGTTGCTTTTATCCCATAGGTGGGATTAATGAAGCAAAGATATTCAATATTCTCTATGCCTTCCATTGACAGGTGATACAGTCCTGCCTCTTCAAGAATTTGCAAGAGGTGATGTTTCTTTCCTAGCTGAGTTAGTTTTCCATTGGGCTTAGGAAAGTTAAGAAACGCTAAGTGATTCTTTGAAAGCACCATTGATATTTTGGGTGACTGAAGAGGTTTACCTTCAGCAGGAGTCTTATCTGATTGTATGGCTAGAGATGAAGTGCTAGCTAAAAGTTCTAAACTGGATGATTTGAGAGACAGAAAGTCCGCAATTGCAGTCACTGGGTTTAGATCCTTGTATACTGGAGGAAGTAAGGGTAGAGCTGACACAGTATTTAGTTACTGATTTAATTTGCCTTTAACATGGGTCTCATCTACCTCCAGGCTTATGGCAGGAGATAAGGAGTTGGATATAAGTTCCAAGTTAGGTAAATTGGAAGGCAGGAGATCCATAGTTACTGTATGTAAATTTAGGTCCTCACCTTCTGGGGGAAATAAGGGAGTAAATGGCACTTCAGTTGACTTGATCTGTGGCTTCGATAGCTTTCTTGTCTGATTTGGAATGGTTTTTATCCTTCCGTTTTCTTTATCCTGTACCTCCAGCAGTTGGAACAGTCTCTTAGAATTGAAATTACAATGTGGAGGAATCTGCATATTTACGTTCCTTGGCACTTCTGATTTTGGGTTGTTGTTTTTTTTTTGGTTTTTTTTTTGGTCTTCTTACTCTTTTCCTTCCAATCCTCTCTTTTCTTTTCATCGTTGGAAGGGTGGGATCCTGGCTCTGTAGGTTTGTTTAATACCTTCTCACTTGAGCCAGAGGCCTCTAGTGTGACATCTGAAAAATTGACTTGAGTACTAACATTAAGTTGTACATCAGCAGTTGGATGAGGTATTTCACAGAAGTGGCATTTTGTTGTGACTGGAATGCTGGTTAGAGCTGGATTCAAGGGTGGATTCAATATCATGCTGATTCATGGTTAATTTGCTTAAGATCTTCAGTTTGTTGTTTGATAGCTGAAATATCGTGTAAGAGGATTTGTATTTTATTTGCAAATAGCATGTTTTGTGTCCTCATTACATCAAAACAGTGAGGGCCTTGATCTCAGATGGGGACTTGGGAGATCCCTATATTTAAATGCTGCCAAGTATTCCCCCTCTTTGGGCAGGTCAGTGCTAAATCTGGAAATTTCTGAATGGAATTTGTCTTTATCATGTTTAGGGGTCCTAGGCTCTGAATTGATTGAGACAGCTGAGCTTTGACAGAATGCTTTAGGATTTGCCAGTAGTTGCTCCTGCTCTAACGCAGCATGTTTGATTTAGACAGAAAAGCCATTATTTTAGTCTGTTTAAAAACTTGACTCTTTGATTTTACTGGTTGTTGAAGATATATGGTAGAGAGTACTAAATCTTTATATGTTTTCCTTGTGTGCACCATTTCCCTTCCCTTTTTCACAAAGAAGCCCAGAACCGGCAGAGGTAAGAGGAAACAGATTTGAGGGAGTCATCAGGTGTGAGATCTCACATCAACCCTGTTCTCAAATTGTCGTCCCATAACAGCAAAACCTGTAGACTAATAGTCCTGAGTATGACCTCGGTTCACACAACTGCCTGCTGGCTGGATTATGCAGAGCATAGCTTAATCAGTGGAATTAAGCACTTGCACGCAGTAAGAAAGCTAAACCTTTTCTTTTCATCATCTCTAATGCAAGTGAAGCAAAATAACATTTTTATCACTCAGATTTCAGTAGGAATTTCTTCACAACAGTATTGGACAGGGACTCCACTGCCAACCCTGAGTTGTTCACAAGGATGCCACCAATGACGCCCCAAGAACCCCCAGCATAAAATAGAAGAGATCCTGGCAACCATCATATGGACATTTGGGGTTGAGGAAGAAAACATCAGCAGAAACAACAGTGGTCTCAATACATCAGAAGCAAACGTGGGAGTCAGCAGGGAGAAAAAAGAAAAAGTCCAACCTGAAGATAAATTCTCACTGTTGACTCAGGGGAGAATAGGGAGGAATACAACAATTCAGGACGGCAGGCCAGCAGTTCAGCCGTTTCTTCTCCCCTTTTCCTTGTTGTGTTGGCAAAACAACAGGAATTCTGGAGGTTGTTTTGACTCCCTAAACGTTTGGCTTCAGAAGCTTCTTCGAGAGCCATTTAGAAGCTATTTAGAGGGAGTTAAGTGTAGTTTTTTTTTTTAAAAAAAGACTATATATAAAAATTAAAAGGGTTGAATAAAATCAAAACAGCAAAAAGTGAGGGAGAGAATGCTGCTGCAGCAGCATCCTACCGGAACTGGAACCTCCGAGAATATATCATTTGGCCTATGGGAAGCCATCTGGGGTCACCAGCCCCCTCTATCAAGGGATACTTCCAATTTCTGCTTCAGTGTGTGTATACCAATGTTCATTCCATGATATCATTAGACTATCCATTAGAACATTTACAAGAAATCCATTTATCTTCTCCAGATCTATCAAACAGTACTCTGTGAACTTGGCAGTAAGTTTATCTCAGGAGAGAGGGTTGTAAATAAGCACTTACCATTTTGTACCTGCTGTTTCTGTTCTCCTGCTGTTGAGTTGGACTTTGTCTCCTTTTCCACCTGAGTTAGATTTTTCCCTTGAGAAGCTTCATGCCTGCCAGCACTGGTTTGATGAGTCCCATTTACATTAGTCTTACTTATTTCTGTGCTCTTACTTTCTCCTGAATTCCCTTCTTTACTCTTGTCAGACATGGTGGCAGTAGTTTCCTCAGATGGCTTTTTTCCTTCATGTCCTTCTGTTTTTTTCTCATCCACTCCCTGTTGAGAACTCTCCTCAGCTTCTTTCTTTGCTTTTTCTTCTGCATCCTCAGCAAAAGCAAGCACAACATTAACAGGAATGAAGAGAGTGAGAAAAACAATTGGTGAATTTTCAGAATGGTAATTCATATCTCCTTTCTAGTTTCAGGACATAGGCCCCAATAGATGGCAATAGTCAAGATGGAGTCTGTAAGCGGAGCCAGCAGTGTCTCCTCTCACCTCAGGTAGTAGGACACCATGGGCTGCCCTTGAATATGATGCACACTTTTCCACTCTATTCTACCTTTTAGAATGCATAACTTGCAGCAGCTATTTAAAAACCATCTAAACAGTAATTCTTTACACCCGCAAATGCACCACAGTTTAATTATAAAGAGCGGGTGGTTTCTTTTGTCAGTTGAATTGGGAATTTAATTTTCCAAAGTGATGTGCTAAGGTGTTACTGCTCTTTTTTTCCAACACCAAAGTGTCATTGGCTGTTTATTGTTACTGCACATGTTTGGGATGACAGCTTAGAAGAGTTTAGAAGTTCTACTTCTATGGGCTACTCCTCCCAGAATACCACAGCCAGCAACTTCTATGAGCTCTGGATAAGAAGGAAGTTTCTATGTTTGTCATATTTATATTCCTCCTTTTCTCCAATGAACTCCAAATTCAATGATCAACAACTTATGGGTGTAAATTTACACTACAAATGCCAGATGACATTTACACCACAAAAGCCAGCTGACATCATCAACTGGTTTAATAAAATATAATCTAAACTAATTGAAAGCTTTCTATCCTTCAGTTTCAGGTTCTGATGCTGTCTTGGGCTCCTTTTTGTCCTGGGGAAGCATTGAGAAGGAACCATAAAGTATGGGGCCAGAAAGAAAGGAGCATGTATTTTTGGTAAACTAATTCCATGTTAAATGATTAATTGTTCTGGATAAATAACATAATAACAATATTAATTATTAACCATCCCACTAGTACCTGAGGTTCCCACCACAATACAGTCGTGCCTCACAAGACAATTGCCTTGCGGGACGAAAAACCCGCACGACGATGGGTTTTTGCAATCGCTATGGTGCCTCACAAAACTGTTTCTTCTATGACCTTGCTTCGCAAGATGTTCCCCCCCCGAGACCCATGCCTTGCAAGACAAATAAATTTCATTCGTCTTGCGAGGTTCCCATAGGGAACCTCACAAGACAATTTTTTCACAAGACAGCGATTCTCGCGGAATGAATTACATTCATCTTGTGGTGCACCACTGTAGTTTCTTTGAGCATACCTCTGTTGTGAACATTCAAGAGTCTTTATACAGAAAATTCCCAATGTACTTGAGTATACATACAAATGTACCCACCACTGACCATAACAATTGAGATTTTGCTAGTTCTTATTCATAAGCCCACTAGTTATTACCTTTGGCTGCTTGTGCTTTCCACTTCTCTCTGTTTTGTTGTACCACCTCAGTCCAGGTGGTTTTAAAACATTTGAAATCCACAGTGAGTATGGAACAGTTGAGTGAGGCACTTCCTTCAGATCCAGTGCTCTTGACACTTGATCTTTTAACTTCTGAGGGACTGATGCTGTTCAGACTGGGATTGCATAATATAACAGGAATTATTTCTGCACTATCATTACCATCGCTAATATTACTTTTTCAGAACATAGACATTAAAAATGTTATATGAGTGGAACTTCTGTTACTGCTTTGACTGGCTTTTTAGTACTATTTGTATTCTCCATTTTTGTGTTTCCCATTTCTTGGAGCAGCATTTTAAAAAATATTTGTATATTTATTGTTCTTAGCTGTAATATTGCCTTTTAATGATGTTAACCACCATTGTACACTCATTGTTTTCAACTTTAAATATTGTTTTTTAATTCTGGAAGCTGCCTTGTGTCCTTTTCAAGGAGAAAGGTGGGGTAAAAATATTTTTAAACAAACAAACAAACAAACAAATAAATAAATGCTGGAAGCTGCCTTGTGTTCTTTTCAAGGAGAAAGGTGGGGTAAAAATATTTTTAAACAAACAAATAAATAAATAGTTTTGCCTTTCTTTACAGCAATCCTATTCATTCTCTCTCTGGGCTGATTTATCCACTTTCAAAGCATGTGTGATTTGAGACAGCTTATTCTAGGTTGAGATTGTACATGCATCTTAGCACAATACCTTATAGAACTTTAGGTCTGTCCTGAATCTGTTCTACTTCGCTGTGCAAATTAAAGTGATCTAGGTATTTTTCTATTTCCTTTTAAAATATGTGTCTCCTAAATGAAATATGCACTAAACAGCTACTCATTTTAATATTTACAGGAAAATATTAGCTAACAAACCCATCTATATAAAATAGTGCTCTATCCTGCCCTGTAAAAAAAAAACTATGAAAGAAAATTATCCAAAATATATTTTATGTAGTAACTCCATATTTGATCATAAAATAATCCTATTCTCATTTCATAATTAACTACATTCCCTATAATTATTAAGTATATCCCATGGTTGTATCGAGCATTGCTTCTTCCAAACCATTTTGCAGTTGGATTGCTAGCAATAATACATGAGAATGTTCTGTGAAGCCTTTGAGATACAGTGGTGCCCCACATAGCGAGGTTAATCTGTTCCGGAAACATCACTAAACGGAACTGAAAAGCCCATTGGAACGCATTCCAACGGGGCCCAAACTCACAGTTGATTGAAGTTTCCTCATCCGGCCGCCATTTTCGTGCCCTCGGTAAGCGAGGGCAGTGCGTGAAAATGCTGCGCGCGGCCATTTTGGGTGTTCCGGCAGCCATTTTGGAACCGCCGATCAGCTGTTCCGACATCGCAATGCGAATATCAGTAAGCGAAACGCTTACCGATCGTCGCAAAGCGATTTTTGCCCTATTCAAACATCGGTATGCGATCGCATTAGCGATCGCAAAATCCGCATCGCTATGCGGATTCATCGTTAAACATTGTGCTCGTTATGCGAGGCACCACTGTATAAGAATTCTACATTATTAGAAGCTCCTGTGCCCATGGAGTTCCAGATTATAGCCACTGGATTATTTAGCAATCATTGAAGCAGATCCACTTGAATCAATGGGACAAGTTAAGTAAAGCATAACCTAAATTCCATGGATTTAAATGGGTCTCCTATCTGTCTGACTAAATTTGCATCCAAAGCATTAAGTAAGAGGAGAGAGAGAGAGATAAAGAGAAAGAGAGAGAGAGAGAGAGACTGTATAGCAGTTGGGAACTAAGCTCCCATTGCAAATTTTACAGTGTCACACTAACCTGGAACGCCTAAATCCTGACATGCCAGAGTGGGAGGCTTCCTCAATGAGAGGTGTTACAATCTTCTCTGTCATATCGGTCAGCACAGTGAAAGTGGGCTCCACTATGAAATCAATAAAACCTGCAAAAGACAAATAGAGGGAACAAAATTGCAGTTGGGAACTAAGCTCCCATTGCAAATTTTACAGTGTCACACTAACCTGGAACGCCTAAATCCTGACATGCCAGAGTGGGAGGCTTCCTCAATGAGAGGTGTTACAATCTTCTCTGTCATATCGGTCAGCACAGTGAAAGTGGGCTCCACTATGAAATCAATAAAACCTGCAAAAGACAAATAGAGGGAACAAATCAGTTGTATCAATATATTTTGTGTATATATTTGTAAATGTCTGTGTGAGAATATACGTTCATAATTATCAACATATTTATCAATTATATTGATCAAGATGGGTAAGCAGATATTTTGCAGCAGATATATAAAAAGGTCAATGAGGATGTGCATCTAACAAGACATTTCCCACTTAATTAATTGTAAGGTAATTCCTTAAAAAAGAAAGTATTGCAGCAATTCAGTAATAAGCAGATGGGATTAAGTCTGTTTTGTGTGGGTTTTATGGATCCTGAGCCAGATTCTTAGTACAGCTGGTTATGACCCAGCTTGGAGGATGGAACTGATGGAAGCAACATAATAATAAGGCTGTAATAAGGCATTATAGGTAGGGATGTGAGAAAGCAGCAGACACATTCCCTTGAAATTTCTCATTCTAAACTTCAATTTGTTAGTACAAGATGGCGGGGGTAATTTCATATATTTTCTGTAAACCTAATTTAATGTTAAATGATTAGTTGTTCTGGATAAATAATGTATAACAATATTAACTATTAAGGAATATTTAATATCAAAGGAAGGATCTTGTACTATGCAAGGGTTACTTCAGTACAGTAAAACTGGAAGCTAGTTTTTATCTATTCACCATATCCAGAGCAAATTAAACAAATTGGATACTATGTCACAGAAATGTGTAAAGAACCACCATAATTAAAAATATGTCCCCTGATGTCAAATGTAATAATCATTTCAAATAATCCACTGATTTAATTTAGTTTGTGTGGGACACAGATCCCACTCCACATCCGCTGGGATTCATCTCACTTATATATCAAAATGAGAGAAAGATGAACAACGCTTTAACCTCAGCAGTGGTTCACAAATCATGCACCAGAGATTGCTGACCATTTGTGTAATCGTCACTCATAAGTAGCTGTTAGTTGTCTCTGCACGTTGAAAAAATTAAAAAGAAGAAAATCAAAAAGAATAAAGAAGATAAACTATTGTAGCATTTTAAAGGCTAACAGGTTTATTTCAGTGTGAGCTTTTGTGAATCTAATTCTACTTTAGAATGTTTGAAGAAGTGGATTTTGATCTACAAAAGCTCACACTGAAATAAATCTGTTCATATTTAAAGCACTCTTTCGCCTTTTCCTTTTCTTTTTCCATTTCATTTTTTGCCATTATCATCCATAAAATGGCATTTCCCACCTCACCCATTCTTCACAATCTCGAATAGCAGTCGCACGTACAATCATACAATCATGGAATAATTGAGTTGGAAAGGGCCTATAAGGCCATCGAGATGGGGCAGGAATACAAATTGAAAGATATCTGTCAGGTGGTTGTTCAAACTTCTCTCGAATGCCTCCAGTGCTGGAGCATTCACTACCTCTCGTGGTAATTGATTCTTTCAGTCTTTCCTTATGGGGCTTGGTTTCCAGCCCTAATCATCCTTCTTGCCCTCCTCTGAATTTGTTCCAATTTGTCACCATACTTCTTGAAGTGCAGTGTCCAGAACTGGGCACAGTACTAAAGATGAGACCTAACCATTGCTGAATAGTTAGGTCTCTGGATTTGCAGACTATACTTCTGTTAATGGAACCTAAAATAGTATTTGCCTTTTTTGTCGCCACATCACACTTTTGGCTCATATTCAGCTTGTGATCTACAGTGATTCCAAGATCCTTCTCACTTGTAGTATTGCTGAGCCACTTATCCCCCATCTTGTAACTGTGCATTTGGTTTCTTTTTCCTAGGTGCAGTACTTTACACTTATCCCTGTTGAATTTTATTCTGTCATTTTCAAACCAGTGCTTAAGTCCATTGTGAATTTTGTTTCTGTTTTCCAGGGTATTAGCTATTTCACCCAATTCTGTGTCATCTGTAAATTTGATTAGCTTTCTCTGCCTCCCCAGATCCAGGACATTAATAAAAATGTCAAAGTTTCTCTGCATCCCCAGATCCAGGACATTAATAAAAATGTCAAAGAGCACTGGGCCTAGGAATGAGCCCTGAGGTACCCCATTTGTTACCTCCTCCCAGTTTGAGAAGGAGCCATTATTCATCACTCTGAGTATAATTTTGTAGCCAACAATGTATCTACCTGACAGTTGTTCTATCCAGCCAACACTACTTAGCTTGCTAGTCAGAATACCATGAGGCATTTTGTCAAAAGCTTTGTTGAAGTCCAGAAATATTATGTCTACAGCATTTCCTCTGTGTATTAATGAGGTTACCCAATCAAAAAATGAAGTCAGATCAGTCTGGGAGGATTTGTTCTTGACAAATCCATGTTGGCTTCTAGTTATCTCTGTATTGTTTTCTAGGTGCTTGCATAGTGACTGCTTTATAAGCTATCCCAGAATTTTCCCTAGGATTGATGTCAGGCTGACAGGTGTATAGTTCCCAGATTCCTCCTTTCTGAAGATAGGGACAATATTAGCCCTCCTCCAGTCATCTGGCACTTCACCCATTTCCCATGATTTCAAGAAAATAATGGACAGTGGTTCTGAGAGTTCTTCAGCCAGTTCCTTCAATACTCCTGGGTGTGGTTCATCCGGCTCTGGAGATCTGAACTCATTCATGATAGTAAGGTATTCTCTGACTATTTGTTTACCACTCTCCAACTGCAATCCTGTCCCCTCCACTTGCACTTCACATTTGTCTGTCCTTTGGGAAAGGTCTGGGCTAAAATAGGAATTGAGCACTTCTGCCTTCATCTGTTATTATTGTGCCATCTCCACCGAGTGGCTGAGCCACTGTTTCTTTTCTTCGCCTTTTGCTGAATAATGCTTTTTTGTTGCTTTTAGTGTCTCTAGCTGACCTCAGCTCATTCTCAGTGTTTTGCCCTTCTAATGCCATCCCTGCAATTCCTTGCTACTTGTCTGTACTCTTCCTTTGTGACCTGGCCTTCCTTCCACTTCCTTTATGTGTCTATTTTTATTTTTAGGGTCTCTCTTAGATTTTTGTGAGGACACACTGGCCTTTTCCCCCCCTGTCTCCTACCTTTTTTTCTTGTTGGAATTGTTTGTACCTTTAGAATTTAGTTTTTTAGAAACTCCCACCCTTCTTGAACTTCTTTTTTTATAAGGATCTCCTGCCATGGGATCTTACTTATCCTTGTTCTGAGTTTATTAAAATTGGCTTTTTTTAAAATCCAGCATATGTGTGTGGCTACACTCTGCCTTGGTTTCCTTCAAAATCAAGAATTCTAATACAACATGGTCAGATGTGAAAGAATATGTATGTGACAAATGTGAAAGACTATTCCAAAATTTACAATCACACAAATATCCTTTTTAAAAAGGCATTTCTAAAATATGGAATATGTGAATGAAACAACTTTGCCCACCCAGCCTGGAATAAAGAGACAAGACACAGATGTTGGATAAAACTAGGGCCACAACTTTATTAAACTATTTAAACTTTTAAAGGGGGCTCACTGTAGTGCGAAATTATCATCTGACTCCAGTGTACCATTTACAACCGGAGCAGGCTACCAAGAGTGAGTTCCAATTGCTGAAGTGTGCTGCCTATGAATAGCACGTCTTCAGCCACCCATCTGCAGAAATCCTCCCACTGCTTCAGTCACCGAACCTCGAGACCTTAGGTGCACTGCTGCCCAGGAGATTCTCTTAGCTTCAGTCACCGAACCTCGAGACCCTAGGTGCACTGCTGCCCAGGAGATTCTCTTAACACCATTTCCCTTCATATATGCCTTGTTCTACCAATCAGGGAAATGGGCTGATTGACACCCTCCTCAGGTGTCCCAAAGGAACTCACCAAATCTCTTACCTTTCATACTCCCCACAGCTGTGACCTAAATACCGTGTCTTCCTCACATTACCTATTTAACCTGAAGTAAGAATTGGATGGGTGAAAACTTGCCTGCCTCGTGATACATGCCAATTATGGAAGCAGACCAAAATTTCCCAGCTACTCTCATTCATACATATTAGGGGGTGGGTGAGTGGGCTGCGAAGTTGGCAAGTGAACAGAGGCCGATTCTGAGGGAGGCAGGCAAGATGAAGGCTTCTCCAAGATCCTGAGGGAGGGAGGCAAGATGAAGGCTCGTCCAAACCCCCCTCCCTGTGACCTTAACTTTACCTGCCTGCACTCATTTCCCCCGAGTGTGCAGGCAATGTGCAACCATGGTGGCAGCTTCGCGCCGTGTGGAGTGCACCATATGCTTACAAAACCCCCTCCCTGTGACCTTAACGTTACCTGCCTGCACTCATTTCCCCCAAGTGTGCAGGCAAAGTGCAACCATGGTGGCAGCTTCGTGCCGTGTGGAGTGCACCATATGCTTACAAATGCATGTGACATACAGCCATATTCATGAGAAAGCTGTCCTATAGCACCATAGATTTGTTTGTTACTTAAAACATAGTACAGCTCTAAGGATACAATACTATAAACACTTACGTGCGAGTAAGTCCCTAAAAATAAAATGGTTTCTGAGAATTGTACCACATGAGGCACACAGACTATTTCAGGCTGGAGCTCCATGCATATGGCAGAGTAACTCTTTACATGGGAGTTGTTATAGAATTGCGATTCAGGTGCTATGAAAAGGATGAAATCCTTTAATCCTATCTTCCTTTTTTCCCCTTTTACAGAAGAATGGAAGCATCTTACAAACCCTAGGACAGCTCTCTCGCTCTCTCTTTCTTGCTATCTCTCTCTCATATAATAAAAGATCAGAAATAAGATGATGCATCAGCTAAAAGTAAACCATAAAAACCAACTGAAATACAACTCTTCAGTACAGATCGATAAGCAGAGGGAAATCCAAAAGAACTCCACAGGTACATTCCAAGGTTTTTGCACCACTTTGTTATTCCCACCCAAGGCCTCTTGTTTTATACTCATCTTTCTGTTCATCAACAGAACATAGAACACCTCCCTCCCTGCCTGCCCTGTTGATCTTAAAGCAATTTCATAATTAATCACAATGCTTGCGGTGGTTCAGAAGAGAGGCTGTTCCTTC